CAAAAAGGAAATGACTTCTGGGTGCCATTACTTATTTCCAGAGCTGGATAAGTAGAAGAGAGGGTAATGCTGGAATACAGTATTTGTGTTGGTCAAGTCTAAAGAAAAGATGTCTTAGACATAAAACTGTTTGCCAGTTTCTGTTATCAATTTACTTCTCCACTCTGCTTTGGTGTGGGAGCCCACAGAGGTTTCCTTGTGAGATCTGACTTTGCTTTACCCAGAAGGGCTGCATAAGGGGATGGATTGACTATGCATGTGGTTATCAGGTGTTTGGAAGGGTCTGCACTTGGTTGTGCTAGGGGGACGTTTTTTGCTCCACCCCTTGGCATTCCTTTAAAAAGCCCTTTAGAAGAGACAGAATGGGCTAGTGAATTGGGATCCAGGCCCTCTCAAGGCTATCCTGTGTTTCTATCTGTTTCTTTCCCCTCTATATTTCTATCTAAATCTCTTATCCTTCACTCCTCAAGAGAACCCTGGGGGAAAAAAGTGGGAGTGGGTCTCCCACAAATGGCACCAGAACAGGGACCCAGGGACTTGGTGAAAGGGGTGTCAAGGGATGTCGCGGGTGTAAGGTATGCCAATAAGGAACTGATAAAGGTGATGGTACTTTATTCTCAGGAGTGAAGGTTGGGTGGTGGAATGCCAAAGTTGAAAAGTGAGACTGAAGTGTATATTTCTTTCTATCTAGGTTTCTTTCTTTCTCTCTTTTTTAAATCTCTATCTATAAAGATTAAGGAAAAATATAAGGTAGAATATTGGAATATAGTATAGAATATAGAAATATTGGGTAAAGAATATAGTTGAAGGAAAAATTTAGGATAAGATAAGCAACAAGACAGAGAAACTATGCCCTTGATTTTCCAACTATGAAGCTATTAATGCAAAATCCTGGGGAAGAATCAGAAAAATATATCAAAGATGAGAAAAAATGAGCAGAAAAAGATTCCTATGGAAGCTTTTGGCCTGGAGACAGCTTAGAATCAAGCCCTGAGAGAAAGAGAAAGAATTTTTCCCTGAGGTGGTTGTGGATAAAATAAAACTTCGCTCCACTGATGCTGCCATTGTATGAAAACATCGTACCATCAGAATTAGTCTCCGTTTGGCCATGAAGCCAAGGAGAACAGAGGTCTTAGGAAAAATCTTATTAATCTCTCTCTAAAAAACTAAAAGCTTTTCAGACCTTTCTTTTCTCAGATTTTTTTTTTCTCTTTCTGTAAGAGCAAAAATTTAACTCACCTGGAAGTAACATCTATCACAATGAGAAAATCACCTGTAATTGCTCTAAGAAAAAACAAAACATCTCTTGTAATATGGCAAATCCTCTCTGCTAGTCCTGTCTCCCCTTCCAGTCAGTATTTAAAAAAAAGCAGCTAGGGGTAGAGCATTTGAAGAGGCACAGAGGAGGCACAGGTATTGCAAGATGCTTGGCTGAGCCATACTGCAGGAGAAGAGAGGGTCCTGAGCCACACACAGCAGGGGCATCAGGGATTCTGCATCCTGGAGGAAGGGACAAGCAGGGACAAAAGAGATCTATTAGGGAGGGGAGGGTAAATCTTTCTTTAAAAGCTGTTGTTTCAAAAACTTTCATTTTCTTTGACTAACCCAGTGAGGTGGAAAAGCAAGCCCCAAGGGGTTTTTGCTTTGGGTACCAAAACATCTGTCTGAGTGTATGCAGATAGACATGACCCACTCTGGGAACAGTGTCAGATGAAAATTCTGATTAGAGAGGTACACCTGTCAAAAGGTAACACAAGCATCCCAAAGCAAGCTTAAGGAGAACAGAAACCTCCTGTGGCAAAAAGAAAAGCTTACTTGATCTTGATTTTTAGTATGAAAACAGACTGTGTGAATGGAAGTTTTCTGCCAGACCCAGAAAGGCAACCTGGGAAATGTAGTTCAAAAAGCAGCTTGGGAACTGTAGTAATAGCATCATGCTATAGAGAAAGGCAGTCTTGGAAATGTAGTTTTTCAGCTCAAAATGGTGATAATGCCCAAAAACTGTTTTTTTAGCTCTAGATGCAGTTTCTTTTCCAAGTGATGTTAGAAAGCTTAGTCTTACCTCCTGAGAACTAAGAACAGGAGAACAGGTTGCCTCTAAGGAGATAATTAATGTGCTAATACTGTTTGTCAACAAGACACTTTGAAATCTTTTAGATTTCAAAACAAGGGAAAATGGCTCTTACACTGGGAAATTGCTTCGGGTGTGGAAAAAAAACCCTACAAGATTGAGTTGTGCTTAAGATACAAGATGGAAACATTGGCATCATTAAGAGAACTCATGGTAATCTTAAAAAGCAGCTTTAAAAAATTAAAAGGGGGGAAAAACTGTACCCTTAGTCACCAAATAAAGCTTACTGGCTACCCACAGGAGTCTCATATCAAAGCTGACCATGAATTCTGAACTTAGAAATAAAGCGGTGTTGAGTTCACTTATAATTTTTACTATGGTGCTCATGATTTGTGTACTCTCTACCTTATTTGAAAGAAAATAAGTTAGTTCTGTTAAGAGATTCTTTCTAGATGTCTGTAAAATAGTCCTATAGAGTTTCCTCTTGAATATAAGTTTGGTAAATAGTTCTAAGAAATCTCTTCTAGATATGTGCTAAAGTTTGTAAATTAGAGTTTCCTTATGAATATAAGTTTATAAAATAGTTCTATAGAGTTTCCTTTTGAATATGTTTGTAAGAAGTATAAATAAGTATAAGTATATGTTGAATGTGAGTTCGTTCTATTTTTTAAATATGAATACCTTTTGGGCTGAGCTTAGCTCCCTGACCTTTTGGAAACTCTGAAATTGTCATTTCAGTAAAGGTTTATTTTTTTGTTTTTTGTTTTTAAAATTTATTTGTATGTTTTATCTGCATGTATGTATGTATATATAATATATATTATATATTATATATCATGCACATGTCTTGTGCCTAGGGGCCAGAACAGGATGTTGGACCTGGAATTAAAGATAACTGTGAGTTTGGGTTCTGGGAACCAAACCTGGATCATTTGCCAGAGCAATAAGTGTTCTTAACTGTTGTGCTATCTTTCTGGCCTCTAGGGATTTTCCTTTAAATAAATATATGATACCATATGATGATCAGGTTAAAAATAAAAAATACTCAAGTTCACCAAGTAAATGCAAACCCTAGGATACATTATTTCAAAGTCATTGCAACTAGTAAACAACTACAATTCTAACATTAAATAAATGGACATATTCTATCACAAATTTTCATTTCTTAAAATAGTTATAAAAAGAAATTGACTTGTTGTAGAATGTCAGGCTTTGGACAGCCATTGAAATTAATGATCCATGAATCACAATCAATCTTCTTTAGAAAATTAGTTCATATAATTAGTTTATGTACACATGATTGGAACAATAACATGCTCTCTGTTATGTAATTGTTCATAATTAAAATATTAAGTCACTGCTCTTGTTTTTAAAATTCCAAACAAGTTGATTCATAATTATTTCATATTTACTAGTTTAGGGTTTTATCATTAAATTTGGATCTCCTTTTCTAAAACTCAAGGAAAGAACTTGATAAAACACATATGTAAATCCAATGTAGATACATATAAAAATAAAATGAAGGACCTGACTCCATCCTAATAATGCCCTAAAATCTAAAACAAAAAAGAAACATATCATCTTAAAAACATTACCCAAGCAGAACACAAGCTTACTAGAGTTTTATTTGAATCTGATTTTAAAATCTATAATTCCCTATCATTATCTCTGATAGCCATCCCACAAGTGAAGAAAGAACCTCCCAGGAGTTTACTTACTTCCTCCCTTCTCCTTAGCTGTGATGGGTGATGTCATTGTGTATACCATAAAAATGTGTTGCTCTGATTGGTTGATAAATAAAGCTGTTTGGCCAATGGTGAGGCAGAATAAGGTTAGGCGGGACATTCTAAAGAGAGATAGTAAGGAAGAAGACAGAGCAGGGGAGACGCTGCTAGCTGCAGCCAGAAGAAGCAAGATGTAAAGTTACCAGTAAGCCATGAGCCACATGGCAAAGTATAGATTTATAAAAATGGGTTAATTTAAAATATAAGAACTAGATAATAAGAAGCCTGCCATGGTCATAGTTTAAAAATAATATTAGCCTGTGTAAGTTTATTTGGGTCTGAGAAGCTGTGGGACCAGTGGGTGAGAGAGATTTGTTCTGACTATGGGCCAACCGGGACACAAAAAAACTTTCAACTACACCTATATCTGATTTTTCATTTAACATGATTTTTATATTTGTTCAAGTAGAATGAAGGAAGTTGACTTTAGATTTACTTTCTACAACTTAAACATCTGTCACTATGACGAATCAGAACTGAGCCAATGTTCTTTGGCCTTCTGTAAGGGGTAATTTAGTATAGACATATCTCAAGACAATAACTATGGCCTATAGTGGTTTTCAACTGGTTTTGGGCCACTTTAAGAGAAACAAAATTAAAGAATGTTCACTATCAGAATATGGTCATAGCATTAAGACAAAGTTCCTTGGTTGTAGGGTAGTGGTAATTGAGCTATCTTAATGAATGCAATTAAATTTTTTCAAGACTATATTAAACAAAGGGATTTTTAATTGTGCTCATTCAGAGATGAAATAAGCTAAGTACTTTTCAGAGACAGGAGGGCAATGGTTATTAATTCTCTGTTTACTAATGTAGTTTCTATAATCCCGATTGGATGAGATTTAGTATGATGACATAATATAAAGGATTTGTTTAAAAGATTTATTTATTTATTTATTTATTTATTTATTTATTTATTATTTATTTATTTATTATGTATACAGTGTTCTGCCTGCATGTATGTCTGCAGGCCAGAAGAGGGCATCAGATCTCATAAGGATGGTTGTGATCCACCATGTGGTTGCTGGGAATTGAACTCAGGACCACTAGGAAGAGCAGCCAGTCCTCTTAACTGCTGAGCCATCTCTCCAGTCCATAAAGGATCTTTGTACTTATTAAAATATTAAACAATAATTAAAAAAAACCTGTTGGTATCCTTGTCTTCTCAATCCAATTTGAAGTTTGTTTGTTCATAGGACACTTCAAGGATGCCACTTTGAAACAACTTTCATACATGTTGATTTCTTTGGACTGAACTGCTTCTTGGATTGGACTCTTAGAAGTTTCTACAGTATATGTCCGTTGGTGTTTGTTAAGACTCTGATTCATACGTCTGGAGCTGAAAGAAATTGAGTATTGTAATCTCAATGTCAACTACTTATACAAGAGTAATGCAGTTTTTCTATGTGTCTTTTATTCCTTAGTATGTAATCTTTGAGCTCTCACCAGCCTGTGATATAGGCAGAAGAGCTAGTAATAGTCCCATTTTAAAAAGGAGGATAATAAAGATTAAGCAATTTTCTTATGCTCATACAGGTAATAAGAGGCAGCATCAAATCTAACAGTCCTATTTTCTAATTCCAGTGCTTTTCCTATTATCTTTTTAAAGATTTATTTTTATTTATGTGTATGTGTTTGTGTCTGCATGAATTTATGTATACCACATGTCGGCTGCACAGGTCCTCTGGAAGAACAGTAAGTGCTTTTAACTACTGATATCTGTCTTCAGCCCTGTCTTTTCTTATCTTGGTATTTATCATTTGATTTCTTTCCATAGGATATCTTATCTTAAAATGCTTAATTCTAGGTCCAAGTATAGTTATGTCCAAAAATGCTTGTCATATTATCATTTATGTAACCAATTCTCTAAGCTTTTGAAGTAAGAGAATATACATTCAAACAGAACCCTTTTCATTGTCATTAAACAGAAATCAGGTCCTTGAGAAAGAAGCCACGGGAGGAAGAAAAGTTACACTATCACCTCTTGTAGTGAAATTACATAGTTGTGCAAATTCAGTGAATTCTCAGATGCTTATCTGTGATTTACCTAAGTCACTGTCCAGACAGTGGTTGATATTATTCCTACGGACAGGAAAATGGGCCAAAGGTAATAGAGAAACAGTAGTTACCAGTTCAGACAAAGATTCAAAGCTGGCCAATGTAATCTTTGACTTCCCTTTCTGGGCCTTTTCCAGGCTTTGGATGCTAGTTTTACTTCTGTGTGACCAATGGTCCATAAACTATTTTTAAAATGAGAAATCAGATAATACAATGATAAACACATAGAAATAAATAGTTAGCTAAGACTTTAAAGTATCCATTAAGGACAGTTTGGGGATATTGAAATTCTCTCAGAACCCTTCAAAACTGTATCTGTAGATGCTCTTACATCTTAGAGTGATCTAGACTGGTAGGATCTAAAGATAAATTTGATCAACTTTTTTCAAAGAGTAATCTTATCTATTGCTTTAATTCAAAATCAAAACATTCTAAGACAGAAGAAAAAGAGTAATATGGTTAGGAGAAATCAAGAGTAGTTCACCTACCTTGAACGCGTTTTTCGGGGATAAAAGATATGTTCAGGAATTTTCACTAAAAAGGAGAATATACCATAAAATATCTGGTTACATTTTTGTTTTGTTTTGTTTTTCAAGACAGGGTTTCTCTGTGTAGTTTTGATGCCTGTCCTGGATCTCACTCTGTAGACCAGGCTGGCCTTGAACTCAACAGAGATCCACCTAGCTCTGCCTCCTGAGTGCTAGGATTAAAGGCGTGTGCCACCAGCGCCTGGCTGGTTACATTTTAAGATCAACAAAAGTTAATTTTTTTATTTTCTTGGCAATTACTTTATGTACACTTAATGGCTAGAAAATTTAGTTCATCTTTAGTTAAATGATGTTTTGTTCATACACATGAAATAGATGAGTACACATGCCTCTTGTGAGCCTTTTAATAAGACTGTTCCAAGAGAAGAATAAACAGGAAAAAATATCTATATATTAACTACCAATTGGAAAGTAATCTATGGGCTGGGAATTCAACTCAGTGGCAGAGGACTTGCCTAGCATGTGAGAGGTTCTGAGTACTCTAGAAGAAAAAGAAAGTAAAAAAAGAAGGAGGAGGAGGGAGAGAAGGAGGAGGAGGAGGAGGAGGAGGAGGAGGAGGAGGAAGAAACAACCACCATCACCAAAAATCAAAACAAAACACCCCCACAAACCTGTGAAGGACATTTACATATACACTAATATGATCAGCATTTTAGAGAGTTGATCTAGGATGCAGATGTATTAGACCAAAGTAAAGTATAATGTATAATAACTACTATGCACATATTTTAATATAAAAATTGGGGCCTAAATTATATATTATTTTCTTTGACATTATTTATATCTTACTATTTAAGCAAAATAACAATAGAACTAGTTAACAGTGGCAATCATAATTAATAGCAGAACAAGTTAACTAGTGGATAGTGATAAAATGTACTTTTATATTTCTTCCCTCTGATATAGACTTTAACTCTTTTTAAAGGTATGGTCTTATATAGTTCAGGCTAGCCTCAAATTCTCCATATAAGAGACCAGCATACCTCTCATGCAATAAGCAAGTGAGTTCACCACCTACTATTTTGACTGAACATTGTTGTTTTGGAGGAAGGTGAAAATATTTTCAATTGATTCAGTTCTTGTTTGTCCAATCCCAGATTCATAAGATTTAAGTCTACTTTACTTCTTTTCCTTTAGGATGACTCTGTCAACTTAACAGGCAAATGAAGGCACGACAAATGTGAGAACGAAGGATTTATTCAACTCAAAGTGAGGATGGCCACCTGGGACATAGTCTAGCAACCCAGAGTAAGTGCTCTGAGGTTTACAAAATTATGGCTACATTTCTAGTTTTAAGCTGCATGAAGAGTTTGAAATGATTTGTTCTGGTTAAGTTAAACTGTCTTGTAAAAAGTATATTGGGTATGTATCACTCTCTGGGTACTTGGGGGTGGAATCTATTGTGAAAACTTAGTAGAACTTAATAAACAATGTTTTAGGAATCTGAAGTTTGTCAGGTACTAAGATCATCTTCATCTAGGGGGTAACTTGTGTTTGAACAGAGTTCAAAGATTTAACTGTGGATGTATATGAGAGTAGATCTGTCTCCTTAGTTCATTTTAAGTGTCCAAACCAATTCTACTCTAGTTTATCTTCCTTGACAATCTCAAATTAGTTTCTACATGTTGTACCTCTATTGTTTGTGTGTGCATGTGTGTGTGCCTGTGTAAGTCAGAGGTTGACATCCTGTGTCTTCCTTGTTTATTCTATTTTTGTATATGGAGATAAGGCCTCTCATCTGAACCCAGACCTTCATGATTCATCTACTCAAGCCAGCCAGCTTACTCTGAGGATCCTACTTCTGCCTTCAGAGCACCGGGATTACAGTGGCTTACCATGTCCACCCGGCTCTACTTTTAGATATCTATCTTCCTAACTAGTTACATATGCCCTTTAATTGTCAGTAAAACAACATAGTCATTTAGCCTTCTCTCTCAAGGGATGCACAGGGCAACTGGCCTTGGGATGGTACTCATTATCTTTTCAATATCCTTGACTGAAAACTGCTTCACAATAGTTGCTTCAGTGCTGAAACTCTTTAGCAACAGAATGAACCATATTGCAATTTAATAAACTACTTGGATCAAGTGTAATAAAAAGTTGTATGAGCTTGATGAATTAGGTCTAATGAATTAGGGATAAGACTAGAGTACTCTCAAAGTTTTTCTATGCCTTAGAATTTGATGAGATGTAAATGCAAATAATATTCTGTTCTCTTTTTGGTAGTATAAAACTATAAGAAACAGATCTATGTCCATAATCAGTCATGGATAGGGAGGGGCTCATTGAGCCCTACCCCTCTCTATTCAACTATTGGTTACTGATAGATACTATTGGATACTGGGAGAAGGGGAGTCATTGTCTTCAGTTGTGTACCCACTGTCAATCCAAACAAGCTCCAATAGATAGCTATAAATCTAAGGCTATCAAGTCAGTTCCAGTTAAACTTAGTCACAAAACACAACAAAAGACATGAATGTAGGAAAGGGATTTGTAGAGAGGAGGGAGAATTAATGGGGCTGGAAGGAAGATAAAAGAGGGTAGGTGCTAAGAGTAACTGTATTTATATGTATGTAAATATATTTCATTGTCAAATGAAAGTTAATACAAAATTAAAAACAAATTCATGTATAACCAATTTCTGTTGGCTTTTTCTATGCATTTCTAGAGTCAGAAAGAAGCAAAAAAATAAGCTCCTAAATCTCTAGTAAGGTGAACTGCTGGTTGGTAATCTGATTTTAAGATAATATTTTATTCTTTAAAGTATGTAGATCTTGATCAGTAAAAATTATTATTATTATTGCACATGTTCAGATTGTAGGTGGTCACACATTTCTGAGCCCTCTCTACTCACCCAAGCCTTGATTAGGCAATGGTCTTTTGAAACAGTGAGCCACATAAACATCTGGTACAGTTGGCTTTGGATCTAGAAAAGATGGTAAAGGATCATAGCAAATGCAAATGAATGAATGATTATAGTTCCTTCATATTTTGTATCTCCTTTCAAAATGGAAAGTTCAAATAATGTGTGAACAGTAGGGGGTTCTTTTGTTTGTTTCTTCTTTTCTTTTCTTTCTTTCTTTCTTTCTTTTTCTTTTCTTTCTTTTTTTTTTTTTTTTTTTTTTTTTTTTTTTTTTTTTTTTTTTTTTTGAGACAGGGTTTCTCTGTGTAACAGCCCTGGCTGTCCTGAACTCACTTTGTAGACCAGACTGGCCTTGAACTCACAAAGATCCGCCTGCCTCTGTCTCCTAAGTGCTAGAATTAAAGGCACATGCTATTATACCCAGTGTGTGAATAGTAGTTTAACTCAATGAAATTAACATATGACATCTTCAAATATAATTTTTTTTGCTGTATTTCAAGTATTTATACCTCTGGGGACAATAATTCCTTCTCTAGGAATTTATTAGAAAGAAATAATTGTACACACAAATGGATAGATTTTCATGCTGTTTACAATAGAGGAAATTTAGAAACAAAATAAAAGTTGAACAATGGGCCTAGCTATACAAATTAAGATTTACAGAATAGCCAGGTGGTGGTAGCACACGCCTTTAATCCCAGCCTTGGGAGGCAGAGCCAGGCGGATCTCCATGAGTTCGAGGCCAGCCTGGGCTACAGAGTGAGTTCCAGGAAGGCACAAAGCTACACAGAGAAACTCTGTCTCGAAAAACCAAAAAAAAAAAAAAAAGATTTACAGACTAAAATATTTTATTGTCATTTTTCCACATGCAAAAGTGTTTATAAAATGCTCTAATTTTGCCAGACAGTGGTGGAGCATGCCTTTAATCCCAGCACTTGGGAGGCAGTGGCAGGCAGATCTCTCTGAGTTTGAGGCCAGTCTGGTCTACAGAACGAGTTCCAGGACAGCCAGGGCTGTTACACAGAGAAACCCTGTCTCAAAAAACTACTAAAAAACCCCAAAATAACAAAAACAAAAAAAACCTTTAATTTTAAATGAAAAAGGAACATGGAAAATAACAAGATTATGCCATTTATTAAGATATGGCATCTTAGAAAAAGGTAAAAAAGTATTCTAAAACATTATTTTTACTTTCTTTTATCTTTTAAAAAATCTTTGTGTGTGCGCGTGCGCACACGCGCGCACACACACACACGCAAACGTGCGCACATGCATGTGGGCATGCACATGCCATAACTACCTCAGGGTCTCTTGTTTGTTTCTGCATGTACCATATGTCAAGATAGCTGGCATCCAAGCTTTCAGAGATTTTCCTGTATACTTCTCCTACCTTACCCTGTATATTGTGATTACAGATGCTTGCTCTTGTGTCTGAGGATCCAAAATCAGAAATTCATGCTTGTGCAGCCACCATGTTACTCAATGGAGCTGTCTTCCTAGCCCCTTTTGTGTTTATCTTTGTTTCTAATTTCTGACATTTTAAACAAAAGTTATATATAAAGAATTACTGAATTCCTTGGTGATCACTATCAAAAAGAATGGGTAGTTTAAAGTTCTAGAGAAATGAATATTATCTAACCTCTCCTGTTCTTGGTATGGTTTTTATCTTCATTGTTTAGTTTCCTACTTCACAGACTGAATTTATGTACACATGTACATATACATTTTAATTAGGTTACTTCAACTCCTTTTGGGGGATAACAGTGGTATAAATGTATAATAAATTAGCACACATATACATAAAATTAAAAAATTATCTTTGGTAAATTATCACGATTGACATATATTACATAAAGTACACATCTATATACTTATATATTTATTATATACCTTACGACTTTTCTTCAAGGGGCTTTAAGGATAAGGTGACAGAAGTTAAATATCAGCAAAGCTAGATCAATTAAAGACATAGATCAGACAGCATTTTGCAGCAGAAACAAATGAAGGTTGCAGATTTCCTTTCTTCCCTGGGGTCATACTTCTATTAAGTTATGAGAGGACAGGAGCAGACAGTTTAAGAACATGAAATCCCTATATTCCCTTTGAGGACAACCTTCCATAACCTTCAGAGTGGCCTCAACTATGTGGGCTCTGCTGTTCCGGCACTGCTGCTCCTGTCATTGCTCCGTGTAGTGTAGAATGAGGACACGTGGCTCATACTACAGACCTCGTACCTGCAACACACTGCTGGCTTACTTGCTTTTCTTCCCTGGTTAAAAGAGGAGCTCCTGAAAGGAAGAACTGGCATCATATATTTCTTTTTTAAAAAAAAAACACATTTATTTATTATTATTATTGTGTCATGTGTGCATACATGAAGTAAGTGTATGGGGGGAGTATACACCACTGAGAGTGTGTGGAGGTCAGAGGACAACTTTGTGGATTTAGTTTTCACCTTCCATTTTTATGTGGGTCTTAGGGATCAAAGTCAGGTTGCCAGGCATGTGTGGCCAGCACCTTTCCCTACTGAGCCATCTCGTCAGCCAGTATATACATCTTAGACTCTTTGGCACCAAGCACAGTGGTGACCTCAAAGTTACGGCATAAAATGAGTGTTGTTGAATAAATGAACTGTTTGTAAGAAGGTAAGACAGAAGTTTACCTTTGACATCAGAATTTGATTCTTCTTGTCTTTGGAGTAAACGTTCTTTACTATAAGCCTAATGGAACAGAGAGTTGGAAAGAAAAGATAATATAGTATAAACATGAAACCGTAGTATGCTTCTTATATGATTATGATTTGATATGTTTTCAACAAACATTTCTTATTTTTTATTTTATTTCTGTCTTGCATTAATAATGAGCAGGAAAAATCCATATTTTTGTTCATTACTAAGAGAGTTTTTTTTCTCATATAGAATTCATGTATCTTGACAGAGACAAAAATGTTAAAATTAGAATTATTTAAATTAGAAGTTGAAAGTATGAAAGATGAAAATATAAACAGTTGTATGAAAAATCTACCAACAAATTTCAGAACTATGCCTGTATACAAAAGGTAAAGGATATTTTCTTGAGCTTTGTGAAGAACTCCAAAACAAAGAAAACTTTAAGTATATTGCTTTCTTTTTTGAGGGTAAATACAAATCTGACTTACTGGACTAAAAGATACATACTGAACTTTTGACTGTGAACCTTGAATAATCTACAAATCACTGACCAAAAACATTTTCAAGCTTTTGTTTCTTTGTCTAACATTATAAAGAATTTTCTAAAAGGGTCTGAGGAAGGAAAGATAAATGAAAAGCATTTTTGCCAGCATATAGCACACACCATTCAGCAACACTAGACTATGAAATAGAGTTAATGTGTAGCATCTATGATTCTAGAGCTCTGAATCCAGCCTGGGCAACAAAGTGAAACCTTTCAATAAAACAAATCAAATCATATAAAACAACACACAACAGAACACAAACACAAAACTTGAAATAGTTAAAACACAAAATCCATTTCTTTGTATATATAATTGACACTATGGAAATGAGGAAAAAGATAAAAATCAAAATTGATTATGGGGTTGAAGAAATTGCTTAGCAGTTAGGAGTACTTGCTGGAATGATAAGGGTTTTCTCTGACTATATGTAGTTGTTCAACTCCCACTAACTTTTGGCTGATTGCTCTAATGTCTTTAACCCTACCCAAGTCATAATTTGATGTTCAGGTTCATTTTTTAAAATCTCCTTTGAATAGGCAGGTCTAGCAGTTGTGTATGAGGTCTGTTCTGAGTTTTGAAGGGCTCCTCCCAGCTGTCTCCCCAGTTTTCTCTCGCAAAGTAGCCAGGCTACAGTTTAGTATGTGTTTCTAATCAACCTACCAATCTCTGTCTAATTTCTTTTTACCATATTTGCACAGGTTTTAAGAATTTCCCAAGCTTTAGCTTTCTTCATCTGTTGCAAATGAAATCAATTCTTTGGGAAGAGACTAGAATGTTTTCTGTTGTACAGCCCAGCTCTCCCTCAAGGCAAACATCCCAAGCCTTAGTTCTGGATTTGGGGCTGGAGAGAGTGACATTCTTCTGATTTGGAACCCGGCTACAGTAGCCTTAGGTCTCCACTATTGCCTCTCCAGGAACTGAACTCATACTTTACAAGGCAAGGCAAGAATGACCAGGGCCCGGTTATTCAGTGGTGCAGCACCCAAGATGAAACCTCTAGCCCCAAACTGCGGATGGAGTAGGCCTCTTTGTCCTTTTCTTTGCACTCCCCTCGATTACCAATGCCTTGTTCCTCCTGGGAAGAGATCTCTGGTAGCTGTGGGGAAAGGTGCCACCTACTTTCTTGGCTGCACTATTCTGCAGTAGCATTTCTGCCTTACTGAGCTAGGAGTGGAACAAGAACAGTTGGGATTCTCAGATTGCTATTTTCAATGAATGTCAGGATTTTGAGGAGACTATCTTTTCATTTTGACCTTATTTTTCACATCTAACCTTAGCCTTTGAATGGCTGTTCTTTCTTTGTTAAGCAGTGTTTGCCATTTGCTAATGAAAGGGTTTGTCGAGGTCTTGGCTGTCATTTGTCCATCTCTCAGCGCCATTTATTTTCATTCCTTCATGTTCTTTTAGGTTTCCTTGTTTTTACATTTCTTTTTAAATATTATGGATTCATTCTGTAAGCTTTCTCAAATAATTTTGAAATAAAATAAATACAAATGAAATTCAAACATGGCATCTTAGTAAGACCTGTCTCTCACCTGTCAAAGATCTTTTGGGTTTTTGTAAACAGCAAATAATATGACCAAAGTCCTATTCATTTTTTTTTTCTGAAGAAAAATGAGACCACATGACTTGCTATTCTCTTGCATTCATATGTAAAACATTTCAAATCATTACAGTAATCAAGATTTACCTCTCTTGTGTTATTCTGGCGCTTTGCTAGGGTGGCATTTCTTTCCCTCTTTGTTTTCAGATACTTTTTCTTGTTTTTTACCTGGGTAAAATAGTATTTTAAATTAGTATTTAATGAATATGTCAAAGATAGTCACTTTGAGTGTCTAAACACAGGCATTTTGAGACTCACTTCCTAGAAGATGGAGTAATTTTCCCACTGCAACTGTGCACCCTAGATGCATGCAAAGCAAACACAAGAATCTATGAAAAAGTAATGGGGCTTTAGAAATGTCTCCTAATCCCCAGGAGAGAAGATTATTCTTCTCTGCAGAGAAGATTATTCATATCTGCAGAGTAAAAATTTGTGGTTCTTGCCTAGCATGCCCAAAGCCTTGGTTTTGGTCCCCAGCACACAGCACACATGCATGCAAACTCAGAATTGTTTTGGTTCTATGACTGTTATATACTACCAATTCTTCAATTTTAATTGGATGTCTATTATAATTTCCCAACTTCTGTTCCATTATTATAGATGTACATAATAGGGGCACTTATAACTTGCCTTATTTTATAGGTTTTGGTCCAGGCCTGGTCTAGTCATGATGGAGGACTGATAACCATGCCTGGATGAGATGCTGGGTGTTTTGGAAAGGGAACAAATACTAGTAAATTTAGCATTTGGGCAGAAAGTTAATAACTGTGACCTAGAGGTGAACTGTGTAATGCTAAACCACTGCTTCCACATGTTTTGCCCTCTATAATTGGATTATGCATCCCTAGTCTTCACTGTGGAGCTCTGTAGGGCCTCTCATGATAAGTGGAATATACCTCTTCATTCTGTTGAATGTTGAGCCTGGTTAGCCATATGACCTACTGTGGCTAGTGGATTGTTAGTGAATATGGTATATGAAAATAAAAGGCTTACTGTAAATTACTAAGGTTTTGAAATTGTTTGTCACAGTGAAAAGGAGCTTATTCCCTCACTTAAGTATCATCTTTCTTTAGTAAGCCCCTGCCAACTGTGATCTCCATATAAACTCTTTAATTGTTTCTTTATGGAAACAAATCACATCTATTAAGTCATGTTTCACTTATTTTGTTGTGTCACTCTCCCAACTAGAATATATGAAAACAAAGGGAAAGATTTTTTGACTCATTGTTTTCACTGTTCTGTTTCCGGCACCTAGGCAGTGCTTGGTACATGGTTTGAGCACACTATTAACAATAAATGTGTAATTAAATAAATGAATATTGGGTTAATAACAAGGTGATGTATGTCAGGGTACCACATGTAACATTAACAAGTGGTGTGGAATTTGAGAATTAATTTCACTTCCTGGATCTTAATACTCTCATAGATGAAGTAAGGGGGTTGGAATAAAAATTCTATGATTTAAAATATGCACATAATCAGAAAAACAATTATTACTACACAATAATGATAGATGCACAAACCTTTTTCCTGGCTGTTAGTAACAACAATAATCAGTGTACCTGCTTAACATATCCATACTGAAGCAAAACTTGTTAATCATACCTGAGAGGTCAACTTGAGAAGATAAGTCTGAGTGTCATTGGACTCTGAACTTTCAGAGCCTCGACTACTAAAAAAGGAAAGTAATAATAATTACAGTTTTGAGAATTTAAAATTTCAACATTGCTTTCACTTTATCATCTTATTTGAAAGGACAATTCTAATTAGAAAGAGAATGATATTTACAAAAGTTATTTATCATTTGGAGGTCCCATATAACTCAGAAATGGTATTTTTATTTTCTGAATGATAGAAACTATAAATGCTTGGGAATATGTTGCTGGGATGTAAGCCCCATGAAAGTACCATTTATTTTTTTCTGTCTGGTTCATTGCTATGCCATTAGGGTGGGAATAACACCTGGTACACAGTGAGGCTCAATATTCTTTGTTACTAAGTAAACAAATAAGCAATATATCTGTGAAGCTCCTTAACTCTTATGGGTATCATTAACTCTTAAAATTAATTTTTATGTCACTATATTTCTATATTATTGACAGACAGTTAAGGGCCACCCAAAGCATAGTACCTTAAGAAACAAAAGGTCAAACACAAATCTATTTCTAATTATAATCACTTAATACAGTGGTAGGCAAATTTATTTGCTTGAGAAACAACTCATGAAAGGAAATATTTCTGGGTTGTATTTCTTATATATAGATTTTTACTTTTTTTTTTTTTTGATTTTTCGAGACAGGGTTTCTCTGTGTAGCTTTGCGCCTTTCCTGGAACTCGCTTTGGAGACCAGGCTGGCCTCGAACTCACAGAGCTCCGCCTGCCTCTGCCTCCCAAGTGCTGGGACTAAAGGCGTGCGTCACCACCGCCCGGCTAGATTTTTACTTTTTAAAAGCAGTTTTATGTTTACAGAAATTCACAATAGATTTTTCACAGTTCTCTTCTGCACACTTTCCTCTGCTATTAGCTTGTTACGCTACATGGTAATTTGCTAACAACTGAGAGCAAATTTATTGTTTACTAGCTGACTCAACATATATTCTGTAAGCTTTGACAAATTTGTTTGTTTTCTGTTGTTCTTTTTTTGAGACAGGGTTTTTCTGTGTAGCTTTGGAGCCTTGCCTGAAACTCACTCTGTAGCCCAGGCTAGCCTCGAACTCACAGAGATCCACCTGCCTCTGCCTTCCGAGTGCTGGGATTAAAGGTGTGTGCAACCACTGCCTGGCTTCTTTTACAAATTTATAAAGACAGGTATCTTTCACCACTACAGCATCAAACATTGTCTCAGACATTCTGTTTGACTATCCATGATTCATTCTGTTTCCAGGAAACTCTTGGCAACCACTGACCCTTTCCCCTTCTAGTTTCATCTTGCCCATTGTGTCTCACAGCCTGTTCAGATTTCTTTCACTTAACAATACTGTTACGAACACCGAAGCAGGCATTTAGGGATAAACTCCTATACTGATTTACCACTCAAGTATCTTTTCCTTTATTTCAACTGAAGCTTTATGAACAAAGCTAGATAGAAACACGTAGAGGCATTTCTGTCTACCATCTTTGTGATGAAAGTAAGCATGTGTGCCATCTTTAGTATGCAAAATGAGCAGTCTCAAAGTGTTCCTGTCTGCCATTTTTACCTTTTCAAATCTGCTTTATGACCCTGGGCCATGAATGTATCAATGTGTCTGTCATATTTCTTTCATAAAGCATGACTTAAAACTGAGCATGTTCAAGAATCTACTCATTTATTGAGCATGCTCGGGAAAGTGTCCACCCCTTAAATGCTTTCTTATATCAATATTTACAGGCTTTCTAAGTAAAATTCCCACACTGTCTTTGAGGAAGCCATTTGCTTTTTGTTCTCCTTACCTGCTACAGGTAACAAATCTTTCTTAGTTATTATTTCTTGGCCATGTTTGTTTTGGTTTTGTACTCATCAAGATGAAACCCACTGTATGTGATTGCAATATAATATGGACTTAGGTTTCTGTTCTGTCATATTGTTTCATGGTTTGGCAACTCACTTATTTTTATCATTGAATAACAGTCCATTATATGGACATACTTAAAAAAATCATTCATCTGGAGGACATCTGGTTGCTTCCAGTTTGGGCAATTATAAATAAAGCTGTTTAAATACTATGGGGACTTGTTTTCAATTTATTTGGTTTAAACCTAAGAAACAAAGATAAGCTGGGGTGTAGTAGTTTCATGACCCCCACAATGGGTCATACAACTGTGGCTGATCTGCCTAAGGGCAAAGACTCTAAGGGGCAATTCTAATGTGGCTACATTTTATACATGGTTAAGATGATATACCTCCCTGTTGTAGTGGAAGTTACATGACTGATAAGATATGCGACCAAGGCTGAGACATCTGAGAGTGGAACAATTCCAGTGGCCATTTTCTTCTAAATGGTATGGAGTGACATGTCTCCTTGATTAATGGGGTCTATCACACAAGTATCAGGATACCCCCAACTAGATGGACTAGACGTTATAATTGCAGCCTTAAAGTAGCATGTGGTAGAGAGTAGGTGGTGGTAATTGGGTGTGGTAGGAGAAGGTACCCAAGCAGACCCAAAGTCTAAATTCCAGGAGAGGGAGCGAGTGCTGTGCTTTCCTGGACCACTTCTCTATGAAGCAAAGTATGTAAAGGGCCAAAAGAACAAACAGGGAAATATTTCATACATCACAGTGGTTGGAACAGATATTGGGATGAATGGGTTCCAGAAAGCAGGGCACTTAAATACGTGAACACCAATTTGCAGAAACAGTGAGAACTTTAAGGGCCAATCAATCAGGAGCAAGGCAATCAGAGGGCAAGAGGAGAGGGGCTGCTCCCAGTAAGAAGACATCAGGCCTGCAACAGAAAAATGTGGAAGTGACAACAACAAAGAGCAGACAGAAAACTCCAGGAAATGGAGATGATGACAGTACCAGTGAGACACCTCAGCCTCCTAGGAGGAAGAGGGCCCGAGTGGATCCTACTGTGGAAAATGAGGAAACATCTGTGAACAGGGTTGAAGTTAAAGAGTCCTGAAAGCTGCCACCATGGCTCATGGATGCCTGGGACTTGATCCCCAGGCAAATGATTTCAGTAAATGTGGCGCTCCATGGACCTGAGACATGGGTGCATCAGGGTGCTCTGTGAGAATTTCAGCATACTGCAGTCTCTCAGATTTTCATGATTTCCTCAAGTACCTGGCGAAGAACTCTGCAACTGTGCTCAGTGCCAGTGATTACGAAGTGGTTCCTCCTGAGTATCATCGGAAAGCCGTGTGAGGGGCGTGCTCTCACTCGTGTTTGGATCTCTGTAAACAGAGTTTGGTTCTTAGTCCTTCTGTACAAATGATGTACTTTGAAGATGTTAGTGTATAACAGAATTGATGTTTATTTTCTGCTGGATTTTAAACAGAGAAAATAAAGGGAGCTTCTTTTTTTTCTTTTCTTTTTTCTTTCAAAGTTTCTACCAGTGTATTCAATGATGGACAATAGAGACATGCTATAGATTAGTGGTTTTCAACCTTCCTAATGCTGTGACCCTTGAATACAGTTCCTCATGTTGTGGTGACCCCTCAACCTTAAAATTATTTCATTGCTACTTCATAACTGTAATTTTGCTACTGTTATGAATCAGAATGTAAATATATGACATGCAGGATAGTGGATATGTGACCTCCAAAGGGGTTGTGACCCACAGGTTAAGAACCACTGCTTTAGAGTATTATTATTATTATTATTATTATTATTATTATTATTATTATTGTCTAGCTGACACAGCTGCTTTTGAATGCTGGTAGTGTTCCTTTGACACTACGCACTTTTATAATATGTGTTTCCTCTATGACAAAATGCTGATTCCTAGGGCCTAAGGTTCACTTCAGTGCATGTAATTGAACACTCATCCATTTGTGCTTCTTTTTGTTAAACGTGCTTAAAAAGCCCATCCTTTGCAAGTCACCCTTGTTGTTCCTTACACATTTTATCTTTGTTCAATTGTTGAAGAATGGTAGGTTCATATTTCTGTCTAATGCATGTTTTAATATGGTAGATGCAATGCATTGTGTAGGTACAATTTTATAGAAAAGTCACTACTGTAGGAGTTGTTTTCAGATTTAAATTTTCCTTTAAATTTTAAAAAATAAAGAAAGTAGCATGTATGGGGCAGAATTGTAAGGAGGCTATGGCATAAGTGGTTTAGCCTTTGCTGTGGATGATAAGACATGCAATTAAGACTGATTTGTCTGCCCATAAAGAACTTGTCCAACTAAGGGAAGGATTATAAAGAAAAGACACATGGGTACTATTTTTCATGTCAGTCTATGATTTTGCAGGAAAAATGGAAAATAGGAGAGAATAAAGTGACATGATAGAAGAGACTTCTCAATCTACCTTTAATATAGAAGGAGGAAAATCCATTATTCGGCATGAAAATAAAGGCCTTAATAATAGCCTGTATAGGAAACATGACAATTAGGGAATATTCTGCATCTGAACTGCAACTGTCTGCCAATCAAATATGATGTACCTGTTCATCTGCCTTCTCTTTGTAGATAGCTTACTGATGTAGAGAGATACTTCATTATTTTGGTGTGCAAGTTACAGTGGAGACTCACAAATGGTTAGGTTGCTGAGAATCAGTGACGACTGCTGTGGAAGCTCTATGACATTCCCTTCAAGGCTCAGGGAACAACACGGAAGAGAAGATGGAAAGAATGTAAGAGCCTGAGGAAAAGGTGGAGTCTGGACAGCTATTTCCTCTGAATGAAAACATTTCTCCTGGAAAGAGTTTCATCAGACTTAGGAAGCTAAGAAATCTTTCAAGGCCCATAAAATTTACAAGGCTCAGGAAACTCAGAAAGTTACAAGATTCACAAAACCCCTACTTCAGGTTACATAAGAAGTCAACCTCTGGGAAGGAGGAGACTTTCTTTGGGAGATATCAACAATCTGGTCAGGGGTCACTATGGATGCAACTTTTGTGAATTGTCAGGCATGCTGTGAAGGGCTTTTTGGTACTGCAGCAGCCTTTGAGTCACTAATACTTCTGTTACTAATTCCAATATCATAGGCTAACCAAGCTAAATTTAAGTGGAATTATTCCTTTGGTCTGTTATTGGTATCCTATCTGTGATGAACAGAATTTTATTCACATCTCCTCAGGAAGAGTCACATAACATAATCCCATCAAAAGAGAGGTCCTATTTTCTCACATTTTTACTAGCATTTGGTTTTGTCAGTGCTTTGAATTTTAAGAAATTCTAAAATGTTTGTCATGGTATCTCATTGTTTTAATTTGCAATTTCCTAATGACAAATGTTAAATTTTCATTAGGTTTTTTTCTTTTATTAGTTTTAAGACTTATCCTTTTATTGTTTTATTTTTAAAATATGAATAAATAAGTGCATTTTATATTCTTATTCCTTATAAAAGATATTATTCTACCTATATAAAACTTTTCTGTACTTAAAACAGACTATCAGCATATACAGATTTTCCTTATTTCTACATAATATTCCATAGTCTCAATGTCTGTCATTGTTGATAGGACACTGGAAAACTACCTATCCTCAATAGCAATTCTAAACCAGGGTAAGAGAAGTAAGATTGAGCATTTTAATGTACAAAGAAATCTTTTATTATCTAGCACCATAAAACACTGTACAAATAAAGTCTAATCATGTGTTGTCTAGAATGGCCCTTGGTTTTTTGAGACAGGGTATCAGGATGTAGTCCAGTCTGGTCTGAAATTCATAATCCTCCTGCTTTGGCTCCCAAGTCCTGAAATTATAGTTGTGTTCTATCATGCCTAACTAAAACTGCTTTTTAAACAGCTTGGCTTTACTTGAAAAATTTGAGACATTACTTTGTGTTCTTAGCACCAATATGCTTATCAATAAGAATCTATAGAATGCAGAATTATCTGGTTGGTATTTTTCCTTTTGGAAACTGTATACTATGTAATACACAATGAAGAAACTTCACTCGTGAAATGCAGTAATATTCTATGTAGTAGTAATGTGTATTTGTCTTTTTTAAAAGAGGAACATGAGAACTACCATGTTTTTAATAGAGAATTGCAAAGAGTTCAGAAGAAAACTTCCAAATATTTGAGGAACTTAGTATATAAAAGGCATAGTTGTAGTTTGTGCTTAAGAAAGCAAGAACACAGTAGTAGTAATAGGTAAAACTATATGAAGAAAAAGAACTCTAACAATAAGAACTAACAGTGAGAAAAGTCAACAGAGTATGTAGCACTTGTGATTGACAGAATTTGACAAAAATTGCATAACCAATAACACATGGTTCTTAAGCCATGAAAAAGACTCCATTAGATTATCCAAAACCTAATGATTACTGTGTAATTTAACAATAGATCTTAAGAAGATAAAATATTTACATTAGGAAATAGACAGAAAACATGTACTATTATTCACTGACTCACTTTTAGAAGAATCTGTATTAGACAGAAAATGGTATTCTCATAAAGCAATTATAATTCTCATCATAGACTTCCCTCCTGTCCATGTCATAAAATTAAAATTGGATTACCAAGACAAGGTTGTATTAATTATTATTAAATTAATTTTTGATATTTTTATTTGTCACACCAAGTCAGTGTTGGGGAGTATTTAATGTTCTGACTATATGTGGCATTCTTCTATCTAATTCTAGGAATTTCTATACACAAATGAGGCATTCAAGGTCTACAATGAGTCACCCTCAGCCTACTTAATTATATCATGTTTTAATATCTCTGTCCTAACACAAATAAACATCCTCTTGTCCTTCTCTCTTGAGAAGAGAATGAGCAAGGGCCAAGGCAAAGACAAAGACAAATTCTTCAAAGTCGTGGTCCCAACAGTCTAATTAGGCTCTCTCTTCTACAGTTCTACCATCTCCCAACAGTCCCAAATTGAATCCATCTTTAGATTGAACTGGTGTTACAGCCCTTAGGACCTAATCCTCTCTGGAAATGTCCTCTCAATTGCACCAAGGGCTGTGCTTTACTAATCTTTTAGATGTCTCTAAAGCCAATCAATTTAACAATCAGCATTAATCTCACAACTGTCAACAATATTCAACCCAGGGTATACAACAGGGAAAGGATAGACTTTTCAACAGAGGGTTCTAGGAAACTGTATATCTACATTTAAAAGAATGAAACTGGACTTTTATAGTGCAAACACAAAAGTTCAAAGTGATGTAGCTACTATTAAAAATAGTATGGAGGTTTCTTAGAAAACTAAAATATAGTTACTAGGTAATCTGATAGTAACTCTGACTAATACTAATGATACCCATGAATGGGCATCAATCCAAGAACCCAAATCTAGAGCTGACATGATAATAGCACTAAAATGTTTTATAAAAACATTTTCAAAAGCAGTTCACAATTCTACTATATTAAGTATCTAAAACAGTCTAATCCAGAGCATCAGAGAATGGTGGTTGTTAGGAGCAGAAGCAAAAGGAATGGAAGTTACTAGTTATTAGACACAAAGGTCAGTTAAGGAAGAAGAGTAAATTCTAGAGTTCTATAGTACAATATTGTACCAATCATCAACAATGATACACTGTCAACTTAAAATTTCATTGAAGGTAGGTATCTTTTAAAAGCTCTTAACACTTGAAATTTAATTGTAAAGAGAAAATATCTAACCCCAATGCTAAAAGGAGCAAATAAACCCAAGCCAAAACAAACCCTAAACATCTCTGAGTAAAGAAGCCCTTTCTGCATGACCTGAGTGCTTCACCATATGCCCCGAGTCAATGTACATCTTGGAATTTTATATGTGAAATCTATAACACTATACTTGTATTGCTATAAAGGGCAAACATAGTAAGCCAATACTATAAATTATACATTTACACTGGCAATCACATTGCTTGATTTCTAATAAAAAGAGATGAAAATATATCACAGAAGAACCTGCACATGGATGTTTATAGAAGTTTTATTTATAATGCTGACACTTGGCAGCAACTAAGATGTTCTTCAGTTGAGTGGATAATTGTGGTATATTCAGACAATGCTTACTATTCAGAGCTAAAAATAAATGTGCCATCATACCATGAAAAGACAGAGGGATTTTATAAGCAAGTTACTAATTTTCAAAAGGCAATTTGAAAAGCTAACACAATACAAATCAAATGACATTCTGAAAAAGGTAAAACTAAGTAGACAATGATAGAAATCTGTGGTTGCCAGTTGTTAAGGAGGAGGAATGAATGGAGGTATGAGCCCATGCAGTGAAGATACTCTGTCTTATACTTTGAAGGTAGGACACATGTCATTATAAATTTGTCCAGACTGGAGTGAACCAGTTAATGTGAACTGGACACTGGGTGACAACTGTCTGTTAATGAAATTCACTCATTGAAACCTATATATCATCCTGGGATGTTGATAACAGGAGAAGGAGGAGAAGGCTCTGGACATACAGGAATGGGGGACATATGGGAAATCTTTCTCATGTTTACTTAGTTTCACTATGGATATAAAATACTCTAAATGAGAGAGAGTGCAAAAACAATTTGGTGTGCCTTTCACATATAGTAAACACACGGCACACAGCAGTGCTCACAATGAATAAATCAAATGAACCTTGATATATTTGACAAAAATACTACACTTGTGAAAACTTTCCCTAATATTAGCCAGAATTTTCTGTGTGGAACTGATAGTAACATCCGAGTATTATGATAAAAGCTCAGTAAAACAATGTAACAATTACTCCAATGAACCTGACTTACCTAGACTCTACATCCAATGAAATTTCTACTAGAGAGTTATCTGAATCATCAAAGACTCTTTCCAAGCTTATATGTTTTTCCATTTCTTCTAATTCTTTCAGACACTGAAAATACTAAGGAAAAATTATAAATGAATTCATTATAAGAACAACATTACTTTCTAATTAAACTAATTTAATGATCATATATATCCATAATAAGAGTTATTGGGTGACTACATACACTGAAACCCAGAAAGCCATTAGGATATTAAAAGGGAAAACCTGCCATAGGACAGCAGACAGGTTATTCATCTACAGCTTGAATCTGATATTTACCCAAATTGATTTGACTTACCTTGCTCCGGTCAGGATCACAGTAGTCCAATAGAGAATCACAAAAATGATATCCCATTGACTCTAAGTCTTTTGTGCTGAAATGAGTTCCTCGTTTATTTCCTAAAAGATCAAAAAATTTATTCACCCTGGAGAATGAGTTACTCATATTTTCTTCTCAGATAAATCTAAACTGTGAGACACTATAAATAAAACATGGGTATAATTCCACATTCTGTCCTTTGGATTTTCTTCTCTGGAGCAGGTCATTTAACAGCTTCAGGTTTTTGCTCATTCCTTTCCCACAACCTGGAGCAGAGCTTATTGAACATACATTGATGTGTATTGCAAGGCACAAGAAAAGTCAGTAAGACAGTTACAGTTATGGTCACCAGTTACTAGCAGTGATAACTACTCAGAAAAATTCCACAAGAAAATGTCTTTTGTCATCATGAATGATGTTACCTCAGTTTCAGGTTATATAAAATTAGGGGATCTCCAGACATGGTGGCATATACCTTTAGTCCCAGTGACTCAGAAACAGAGATAGGTAGATCTTTGTGAGTTTGAGGCCAGACTAGTCTATATAGTGAGTTCCAGGACTGCCAGGGCTATGTAGAGAGACTCTGTCTCAAACAAAAGCAAAAACAACAACTAGGTAGAAATTATTTATATATATATATGGATTTCCAGCATTTTCCTTTTTCAAAATGGGAAAAGTTCTTTTATGTAGCCCATGCTAGCCTCAAACTCAAGATCTGCCTGCCTTTGCCTCTTGAGTGCTGAGATTACAGGCAGATACCACCATACAACCTAGATTTTATTTACTAAGAATGTTAAAATCACTGTAATACAGCATATTCTAACTTCACTAATACATGCCAAGTATGACAAATTATTTCTTATGTGAGACTGAAGAGCATAGCTTCATTTTTCCTTGCAGAAACCAAGGGCTTCCCTTCAAATATAAACTGACAACAAAAATGAGGGAATGAACCAACCAACCAAAGAAATAAACAATGCAAACAGCCAGTCTATTTTTTGCTTGGCAAACAACAAATCAAACAAAAACATTTTAAGTAAGTACATTGCTTTTTCTTGACATCATCAGGAATTCCCATTTTTAAAAATCCATAGGAATTCCCTTAACAGCAACATCAAATACTTGAAGATTAGTAATGAAAGAGTGCACCCCAGAACATTCTTTTATAAACAAAAGTAAATGATGACATAGAGATACCATACAGTAGAAATGTATTCATCCTGCTTATAGGACTGATCAAACTAAGGTGTACCTTTAAGTGGGAAGAACATGTTCACTAGCAAACTGTTCATGTCATTACTCTTACAGCAAAGCCTAGACTGATTCACTGTTCAGGAGGAGGTCATCGAGGACAATTACCAAGAGTAGATCCGCAGAAGGTGGCTTCCAGTGTGAAGCTGTTCCTGATGCCCATCTTCCACATCACAACCCTTCCTGTGCCCTCTTTGCTCTTCTGAACATTAAACTTGCAAGCTGAGAAGGAAAACTGAGAAGCAGTGATTAAAAATGGCACGGATACTTTTTTGGGAAGAGGGTAAGAAGGAACAAGCAGGTAGCCTGTTTTCCTTTATTATTATCATCACACACAGATACAAGCCCCCTTTTGTTTAATTTTGTTACATACAGATACATATGTACAAGTATAGGGGGAAATAAAAAATCTCAAGGGAGAGTAGCTGAGAGTGGCTGGAGGCAAAAAAGAGGGGAGAAAGTGATGTCATTCTCTTTCAATTAAAATTAAGCGGACAAAATAAAACCAGAACACAAAATAAAATAGCATCTCAGCAAAACCTGTAATTCTCAAAGCTGAAGATGTTACCTTCTATATCCTGGTCATTAAATATAACTTTTGCCTATCTTCATGTGACAAAAGTTTTATATATAACATTTAAAATGTAAGATTTAGGTGGAAGATATTTTAGATGTGACTGCCCAATTGTTTCAATACCATTTACTGAAAGGTCTTCCATCAGATTTCCCATGTACCTTGACAGAGGACACACACACGGACACACACACACACACACACACACACACACACGAGTTGTGGGTTGATTAGCATCTAATGCAAGAAGCTTTTCTGATAAGGACTGAGCAATGTAAGGATCTATGAGTATAGTTATGGCTATGACATCAGTAGTTTTATTGCTATGGCCATTTATCAGAATAATAGCAGCAGGTTTCCCCTAGAGTCCATGTCCTCAGGTCCTCGTTGGCACATGCTACCATATGAGTGTGGAGGCAAGAAGATAACTTGGGTGAGTTTATTCTCTCCTTCGACCATATGGGTGCCAGGTGTCAAACTCAGATCATCAAACTTAGCAACAGGTGCCTTTACCTGCTGAGCCATCTGTTGGCCTAGGAATTTTAAATATGGAATGACTGTCTTTCTTTCTAGAAAATCGATATAACTTCTGAGAATATGGTATAAGTCTCCTAAATTTATTCATTGAAATATATGTAACAATATTTCAATGTTTTATAACAATTCAGAAAAGTTTCATCAAATTACAAAAATCCAAGGGTTCTTGAATAGAACCACTAGGATACTCTTTTATTGTGCTTGTCTGCAGAATCCGCTCAAACTAATATCTCTCTTCCATTCTCGAGTTAGTATTTTTTGTCATCTTTCTCTTTCTGGTCAGTTTTGGTAAAGTGTTATCAGTATTAATTGATCTTTCCCAGTATAAGCTTTGTTTTATGGTTTTCTCCATTATTTCTGTTTCCAACATCACCAACCTTTTCTTTATTGTCTGCTTCATTCTGCTTGTTTTCAGTTTAGTTTGTTTTCCCTTTTCTAGTTTCTTATGTAGAAACCTAGACATTGACTTGAAATCTGATTTATTCTAATATAAACTTTTCTTACTGCAAATTTTATTCTAAGCAGTAAAGTACTACATTAGCTGAATCTCAGGATATTTTTTCTTTATCTTTTTCTTTTCTTTTCTTTTCTTTTTTTTTTTTTTTTTTTTTTTGAAGACAGGGTTTCTCTGTGTAGTTTTGGTGCCTGTCCTGGAGCTCACTCTGTAGACCAGCCTGGCCTCAAACTTACAGAGATCTGCCTAGCTCTGCCTCCCAAGTGCTGGGATTAAAGGTGTGCGCCACTGCCCGGCCAGAATTTTTTTTTTTAATGTAGTACATTTCTAATCTTCTTTGAAATTCTCTTTGGTCTCTTTAGAAATGTGGTTTAATTTCCAAGAGTTTGGACATTTTTTTCCACTGATTTCTAGTCTATTTCCCTCATGGTCACAGAAGATACTTTATGATTTGAATTCTTTTTATTTGTTAAGATTTATTTTAAGGCAGGATCTTGTTTGTACTGATGACTATTCTATGTATATTTACATATATTGTATATCCTGCTCTTCAGCAGAGTTGTTCTGTAACGGTCAATCAAATCCAGTTGGTGTTGGTCAGTTCTTACCTATCTTCTCACTGTGGGAGTCTGTGGAGTTCAGCTCTGACCTACTCCCACCTTTTGAAGGGTTCTTAGGTGGAGGACAGAGGGATAAGAAAATATCAGATAGAGAGATCTAGATGACAAGAAGAAAGACAGAAATACAAGGTAGCTTCGGGAGTGCCTGGGTCAATACCCAACAACCCAGAGGTTTATTCAAAAGGGCTTTTTATAATATGCCAAGGGGAGAGGCAAAAGACCTCTCCCTTGCAAGATCAAAGCACACTGTACAGCCAAGCATAGACCCTTCAAAACACCTGGTAAACACACCCGTGGCCAAATCATCTCCTTATGCAGCCCTGCTGGGTAAAGCAAGCTCAGATTCTCTGATCCTGAGTAAGTTCTCACTAGGAAGCCTCTGTGGGCTCCCACATCTCACCTGTTTTCTACCTACCTGTTCTTGTTTACTGAGAAAAACATTTTAAATCTACACTTTTGATTGCAGATTTGCACGAAAGATGTAATGAGAAAATGTTTTAGAAAGAATATAGAATTGGGGGTGTCTATATTTTAAACAATCACTGTATTGGGTGGAACATCTGTTTAAATGCAGATTGGTTGGTTATGGTGTTCAAAAAATGGGTCCATTTCATTTAAGGCGCAACTAATTAGAATTGAAGAAATTAAGTAACATATCAATAAACATATGCTAAAATAGCTTAGAGAAATGGGATAATTTTTTAGGAATAATGAATTCCACCTATGAGTACTGACATAACATAATAATAGATTCGGGCATGGGGTTTCTTTCTCTGATCTTTCCAATGGGATAAATATTCTTGGAGCAACCAACCTTGTCTTTCAATAAATAGCTATTTCTATCAGGTCATCCTTTCTTTTTTATGTTTGAGCCCCAATTAGCCTCAGACAACAGTGTTTCCCTCAAGTTATTTATAATTAAAATGCTTGGTTAAGAACTTGAAGAACTATAGGATTTTTTTGTTACATTAATTCTTTTCTCTAAAAAAGTAAAATTACTTCAAAAATTTGGTAATTGAGCAGCTCCAATGTTTTCACCATTTGCAAAAATAAATACACTGTATTCTCTTCTAATTCTACTTTCTATGTATTTTTGAATATTGGTCATTAAATTTTTTTGAAAAGTTCTAATAAATTATTGTATATTTCTTAAGATTACAATCTTTAGACTGTTTAATTTAGACACAAAAAAATCTTTAAAAAATGTTAGGTCTTGAAATTGATAATACAAATGACAAATAGAGGAAACTTCAGAAGGTAAAATATTGCTGGTCTTGGAAGGTAAGAATAGGGAAGCTTTGGGTTTTTTTGAAAATATTTCCAAATTATTGGGCATTAAACAGACTCCAATAGTTGTTTTATCATAGTTTTGTAAAAATCAATAAAAAACCTACATAAAAAAGTAAAGGTTAGCAAGTAGGATGGCCCACTTCACTTTCCCACATGAGGGGCATTTACCAAAGGAAAGGTAAACTCTTAAAGGTACTTACTTGATTTGGGCAATTTTTGCTCAGCATGAGTGGAAAGATTCGTTGCTGTAAGTATAATCCTTTTGTTTTAGATCTGTGGCTACCATCACAGCCATACATGAAAATGTTCTGTTTCCTACTATGGCCATGAAGATCACAATATAAAATAACCTCTCGTTTCTCCATTAACCTGTCAAAAAGAAAAGGACTAAGTCACTAAATTTTAACCTCTGAATCTTCTTCTATAGGTACTATAGATTTACAAGTTAATAAACAAATACAATTTAATATATATTCTTTTTGACTTTTTATGCTCTAGTTTTCCATGAATACAGCAAATTTCTTCTACTCCCAAGACTCGTAGCAGACCTCTCTGCTTTATACTTTGGTTTTCTGTTGTCCACATAAGACAGATCACCCCTTCCTTTGCCCATTACCTTAACAAACGTTCTACTTGACAGGAGAGTCAGTCTTCCTCCTTCATCTTTTAGGTTCTCAGCTTTCAGACCAAGCTTTGTGTCTTACCCTTGCCTACCCAGCCAGTTCAGTGCAGAACTGATATGGTTCTGGAACTTGGCAACACCTTAATCACACTATTTCCTTGTCACCTGTCTAGGAAATTTTCATGTTTGGTACTTAAGCTTGTTAAAGATGAGGAATGATTAAAAATCACCTAGAACAGTGCTATGTACATAAGCACCCAAATATTTGTTAAAAATTGAGTGCCTCAGAACTTGGTCCTGGAAACAATGAATAGTTAACCTCTGAAAACACCATTCTGAGAAAAATGACACTAAAATTTAAACTGAATTTTTCTAATAAAATTCTAATAAATACTTAAAAGAAATATCATGTATACATTAAAAGGACAACCCATCTCCTGTACAATTTAGCACTCGGTTATTTTAAATTAAAAAGCAAACTTCTCAAACTGATGATGAAGTGTATTGGCAGAAGAGGCTTTAAAGATTTATTTATTATGTATACAGCATGTATCCCTGCAGGCCAGAAGAGGGCACCAGATCTCATTACAGATGGTTGTGAGCCACCATGTGGTTGCTGGGAATTGAACTCCAGCAACCACACTCAGGACCTCTGGAAGAGCAGTCAGTGCTCTTAACCTCTGAGCCATCTCTCCAGCCCCAGAAGAGGCTTTAAAAGTGGCACTATGGTGGTCCTATTAGCATTTTTGCCTCTTTCGTCCTATTTTCAGGCCTTATATGGCATTTCTATATCACCTAATCAAAGTTACATGTGTTATTTGTTATAGCTAGAAGGGTAAACACTAAAATGTTAACAATGGTATTACACATATATATTTATAAAAAAATCAAACATCACTTTTATTATAAACAATGGTTATGAAATTTAAAAATAAAATTTGATGTGCATTAATTTACTACTTTATTTGATAAAATCCATTTAACACAAAGCAATCAACACATCATTACAAGTTCTTAGAAAACTAGATTTTAAAGCATGACCATTAAATATGAAACATGCCATACATTTTTAAATCTAATATTCAGAGGTTTGGTGATATTTCAACTTCCTACAAGAGCATCATTAGAAAACTGTACATCTATGCAAATTAATTCCTAAAGAAATATTACCTCTGAAGTAAAGTGAGATATTAGTATTTCTTCCCTTGCATTAATTAAAATAATAGTTTGGATTTTCTTTTTGTTCACTGGTAATTAAGTATTATAAATGTTTGAACTCAATGTCCTAATATCCACTCGTATGTGAACATGCTTTAAGTATACTTAATATTGTGTAGACTTACAACCTGTCACCTTCCTATACATAAGTGCTTGCCTTCTTGTTTTTCTTGCCTGCTCTTGATTAACTGCATTAAAAGTATTTCTCTTTCTTGAAATTCTTTCAGAAATTATTGAATTGACTCCTGCCCTAACCTCTCTACAAGGCAACTTGAGAACTGAGACATTTAAATTAGCTTCCATAGAGGCAAGCCAAGTTATATTGGCTTGTAATCCATCATGTGTGAGACCAGGAATTCTTAATGTCAAGGATCATTAAATAGACATCATAGATAATGTAATAGGCATTCCATCAGCTACCTTTATATATATGTTTCATTTTAAAATAACAAGAGTGACACAAAAGCTTTAAAAGTAGTGCTCTAGTCTACTTCTGTAGTTTCTCTTTTGCTTAGCATATTGCATAACTGTTATGCTCTCTAAAACAAAGGAGCCAATCTTGGCACATTACTGCCATGAACTAACCTCCCAACTTTTTTGATTTCATTAGTTTTTCCACCAATGTCCTTAATTCTATGCCAGAATCCTGGACATATTACATGCAGTCAGCCCTTCTTACTGTTCACATCCCCAGAATAAAAGAAATTATAGGTTACTCTTTTGTTACTTAAACATTCCTCAAACAGCTACAAGGAGGCCTGGAATCTACATTTGCAAAGGCTATATAAAAAACAGGATTTCAGGTTTTCATGGGGTTTTGTACTTCTTACTTTCCAAAGCAGATAAAAAGATTTATCTGAAAGTGAAAGTTGAGGCTAGACTGTCTGAGACAATCATAACCACACCAGAAGCCTCTACCTTCTGTCCGTTTCTCTGAGGAGCTGGGAGTGACCTTTGGTTCCTCAATTCTGTAACAAGTACCTTGTGTCTGTAGCTGTGAGAAGTCCTGGTATGAAAGCTGGATAAGAAGACAGTAATTTCTATAATGGGAGTTGTTATTATATCAACTGAGTAACTAAATATTTACAATGAGTTTTCATATCTATATAATTTTAATAACACTTCTTTTTGCATGTGAGAAATCATAATCATATGAATACATTTAGAGCTTTCAATGTTCTGTTCCTTATTTGGGCATATTTGTAATACTTTTCTCATTTAATCCTCTCAACTTTGTGATATTAGTCCCACTCTAGAGACAACAAAACTGAGACTTGTGTTGGTTTTTAAATTGCACAAGAGTGTACAGGTAGCAAATGATGTAATGTCAACTCCAATATAGTATGTTTAAGCCCCAGGCCTATAGAATGGATGTCATGTTCCCAACAGACTTTCTATTCCTGATTGTTATTACTTGTCTCTATCTGATAATTCACCCTTCAAAAAACACTAAAGCACTAAGTTGATTTTACTGTCCTAGATTTAGAAATTTCAAAAGTGTTAAAATTTTTCTGGGGGCAAATGAGACTATTATTCATGAAAACTTAAATAACTACACCAATTAATAGTCTAAGGACTCATTCAGCATTGTATGATCAGCAAAATGCCAGAAGGCTTTGGTCTGTAATTTTCATATATAAATGATAAAAAATACAGTGTAACCATCAAGGCTACTATAAGCTTTAGTAAGAAATCAAGTTTGTAATATGCAAACTTCACAGTTTCACAAAGCCATTGAAATGTTCTGAGTCTGTTTCATCTTTAAGGGGAAAGAGTTTGTTTACAATGCCAGAAAGGTATATGATCAGAATTAGAAAGACAGTAAAATTGCTTATGAACTACCTTAAGGAAAGTTAGTGTAAAAGAAATGAATGAGATTGTATGAGCAAAGTTCTTATTACCAAATTTACTAATTAAGCAGAGATGCAATTTGAAGATTATTTTACCTATGGATCATGTTCCTTGTATACCAAACAGAAGGGAAAGATTCCTTTAGGAGAGATGTATAATTACGGTTTAAATCCCGTCCAGCTAAGGAACATCGGTAATTTCCCACAATGACACCATCTGGATTCAGCATGGGTACCACCTTGAAGATGAAAGTGTCCCGAAGCAACCGTGCATCACTTGAGTCTCCTAAAATATAATCTAGGAAGCCTTTCATGATCCAAGAGCTGTTGGTCTCTCCTGGATGGACCCTTGCAGTCAAAATCACAGCCTTGCGCTTTCTTGAGTCACTATTCTTCAAGGGAGTAGTGATTGTCAAGACATACACCATATTCCTAGCAAGTGTGTGGCACAAGACACGTATTTTACAAAACTTTGATCTTACTGGGTCACTGTTGATGCCAGAAAGGTATTCTTGAAGGTTGGTGTACGTGTATGGATAGCAGTGAGCAAAGTAGCAAGTATCCTTGCTGTGTGGAAACTGAAATGTCCATGTAAGAGAAAAAAAATGGCGCCCATCTTGCCCAAGGTTGTTTTTATAATACTTGATTTGGTCTCCTCTTCTCTGCCAGCCAATGTTATGGGTCTTGGCCTCTTTTTCAGAATAGAACAGTGGCCTCATACCCCGATTGTAGAGACTAGCAGGCTTGGTGAAGTTGACAATAGTGAATCTGTAGACTATTTCTGCTTGAGTATTAGTGACCTGGAAATAGTACCACTGAGTATGCTTATTTGTGAAGAGGTCTGGGCGCACAGTCAGCTGGTATTCATAATCTGCCCTAATACACAAAAAGGAAGGAAAAAGCACATAAGAATGATATATCAGTTTCAGTTACATTAGAAAAATAATCTTATTTTTATCTATTTTATATAGTTATAGACAGCCTTTTTGGGAAGAAACAATGTATACTTAGAATTTGATAGCAAACAACCACAAAAAATAAGTTTGGAAAGTTTTATTTCATGAGAAACTGATCATATTTAAATATGTAGCCTTTGTTTCCTTTGTAAATGCAGAAATTCAATAAAATCTTGTATGTTTCAATGCAATTATTTCCTATAAAATAAACAGGTAAAGAGTTATTGAAACCGAGTAAAAAAATCAGTGTTTGATTTTTCCCCTTCAAGCACATACTTCATTTTCTAATAATTCCAGTTCTAGGAATATAAAATAACTATCACTAAGAAAGGTCTGAAAGACATGTAAAGTAACACAATTACATATGTCTCAAAATCTGAACTCGCAGCCAAGCAATCTGATAACTATCTGTACCCATACTTAGTCACTGAAGATACTTAATGAAAGCAAAACACTTTTCACTATAAGATTTATTTACACACTAATCTTTTCTGATTGTGACGTTTCCTTACCAAATAGCTTTTTATAAATGTTCAAATACATAGAGTTATAAATACTGACCTAGGAATGGGTTAAATAAAAATAAACCCTTAATACCCCTAATTAGTTAGCATTTATACTTCAAGAATTATAGTTAAGTAATGGAAACTAAGAACTTTAACATACCTAATCTAAAAAACAGTAAATAGCTAATGGCCTACTTCCTCTAATAAAAATAATTAAAACCTACACTTTGACTACCTTCTGTAGATTACCACTCTCAAACCTCGCTTCAAACACCAAAGTGTTGTCACAGTTATCCACAGGTTGTTTCAAGGGTGTTCGGTTACCCCCAACTCGGGAATACACAAAACAGGGCTCTTTGTAAGCTGATGAGAGAAGACCAAATCAGTGACAGTAAGATATCCAGGTAATCTCATCTACAACATGTCTCTAAAGAAAAGCATCACAGGCATAGGCAATGGTATTTTAAGCAGAATGGCAAATCAGACATTGCATCAACATTTGTGGGCTGGAGTAAAAGCTATAACTTAGGGAAAAGCTTACAGCTTTAAATGCTCCTAAGTTTTAAACACTACAAAAGACTTAAATTGGAGAACAAATTCTGGATTCTGCTTAGGACACAGAACACTGGAAAGTGCATTGTTTTAGTCTTGTAACAGAAAAAAAAATGCTGTGAGTAAATTTACAACTATTCTTGAACTACTGAAAATTCTATTATCTATGGTTGCAGGACAAATGTCCAATTCAAAATCTAAGGCCCTCTTAAAGGAGAGATGGGTCATGAGTACTGGCTTACTTGGTGCAGACCTCAGCAAGGAACATTCATCTTAAAACATAATCAGTTAGGGCTAGCCAGATGGTTCCGTGGTTAAGGGGCATACGGCTCTTTAGAGAACCTGAGTTTGGTTACCAGCATTTAGACATATTAGGTGGTTCACAACTGCCTGTAACTCCAGCTTCAGGGGATCTAATGCTTGTGACCTCCACTAGCACCTGCTTTTGTGTGTTCATACTCACACAAGAGACACATAATTTAAAAATAAGTCTTCTTAAAAATTATAACTAGTCATCAAAAGGTTGAGTGTGGGCTAATGCATAAAACCCTACCTAGATCATTTCTCCCTCCTCCTTATGTAACAAAATCTTAAAACCTTGTGAAGTAAGGACAGCCAACACTGTTATCTTTAGGGCACTAGTGTTCATATACATTATCTGGGAAAAGAAAACTGTTTTCAAAAATCCCAAATCCTTTATTATTTGGGGAAAGGCAGGAATTACAGGATGGAACCAGATGTTTTATTGCTGACACTGGCACACTGCAAATGCCTCATGTGTGAGAACTAGGAACAAGGTGTATGACTGAGGTTTAATCAGAACTCTGTGGTCTTCCCAAACAGCGTAAGAGGACATGAGTAAAATATAACAAGGATTTATGAATTGGAGAATGCAGAGTTCAGAAGTATTTCCCTGTAGTGTAGTATAAAGGAAAGATATAAAGCTAAGAATGGTCCAGAACTGAGATGATGCCTCTGCATCATCCTAAATGGTGATGTTGAGGAATCTGAATCCTGTGGTGCCATAAAGGTAAGAAGACCAAGAATAAATCTAATACTAACTTAATCCCTAAACTGACTGAATCAATACCCCCCAATCTCATAATATATACTTAAATAGTTAGACTCTGGAATTTTTTTCAGTTTTCACACATAAAAATTATTTGCTTTTCCTTACCACCTAGATAATCTCCTCAGCTACCAAACAGAGAATTTCAACACATATGCTCATGCATGCACATACACAGAGACAATTCCACAGACCTGGGTCCAAAGGGAAAATGATATAATCAGTTTAATATAATGAAGATGTTGGGTCAATCAGGTAAAAAATTCAGAAGGAGTAAGATAAGTTAAAGAACCAAGTGTAAAAGAATATGTGAGATCAGTTGGAAATGTAAGAAAGCATCTGCTATAGAACATGACAAGTGAAAAGCAGTTACAAAAACTGAAACTGCCTCTGATGAGGTCATCAGGAGACTTACAGTGCAAAGGAAATACTCAACAAACATGAGGATGGTGAACAGAAACAGCCCAAACTCAAGCAGGAGTTTCTAAAAACAAAAGTAACACAAAACAAACAAAGCAAGAATGTTGGGTCCAAGACTTGTTAGACAGTATCAAATAACCTAACACATTCACTTTGAAATCCTAGGAGAAGAAAAGTATGAAGAAACAATACTTGAGATTCTGACATTAGTCACTGACACCAAATCAAAGCTTTAAAAAGTTCAAGGCACAAAAAACATATCTATGTAGGAATAAGGATTAAGAGTCACAGAGGCTACAAGTTTGGGACATTTTTCAAGTGCTGTAAGATAAAATTTGCCAAGTAGACACTTTTTTTCTGAGACAGAGAATAAATTTGCATTACAAGAAATAGTAAAGTTTTCTAGGCAGAAGTGTTATTAGATAGAAACTTGGATCTGCACAATAAATTAGATAGATAGATACATAGATACATAGATACATTGATAGATAGATACATAGATACATAGATAGATAAAATGCTTGAAGGCCAGGAAGCTAGATGGCTCAGTCAGTGCAGTGTCTGCTGAGCAAGCAGGAGGACCCGAGTTCAATCTCCAGAACCCACATTTTTAAGTCAGGTGCAGTGGCAGAGCCTCTAATGCAGGCACTGGGGAGGCAGTGACAGACAGATCCCTGGGGCTTGCTAGGCCAGCCAATCTAGCCTAGTCAGTGAGTTCTGGGTTGATGAGACAGCCTGCTGTAAGCCCCAAGGTGGACAGCATCTGAGAAATGATGCACAGGTTTATTTCTATGTTCCACACACATGCATATGCTCATATATATGTGCATGCATGCACACACAAACACACAAAAGAAGTTAGTACTAGAAATTAAAAGTAAAATAGTCATTTTTCTTTTTTTAAATGATCTAAAAGATCACTAACGAAGGAAACTGTAACTTTTCTAGCACATGAAAAAGTAAAAAAAAAATTGAAACTAAGATAAAAAGAAAATTGGGAATGCATTTTATAAGATTTTTGTATTATATATGAAATGACAAGATTTGAAAGTAATTTTTATATTTATTTTAAAATTATTAGTTTTTAAGGATTTATTTTTATTTTTACTTTTATATGTATATTTGAGTGCCTGTATGTATGTATGTGTATGCCTAGTGCCCATGGAGGCCAGAAGAGGGTGCTGTATCCCTTGGAACTGGAGTTACAGGTGGTTGTTAGCTACCCAGTGTGGGTGCTACAAACTTAACTGGGATCCTCTACAAGAGCAGAAAGTGCTCTTATCTACTGAGCCATCTTTCCATCTCCAGTTAATTTACTTTTGAGACAAGTTTTCTGTGTAGCTCAGGCTGGTCTTGAACTTGTCATCTTCTCACTCAGCCTCCTGAGTGCTAAGATACAGGCATGTGCCACCAACACTAAGCTGCAAGGAGAATCTTTTATAAGACATATACTGAAAAACCTAAGGCCACACAAAAACCCAAACAGGTATCCATATATCAATAGCTGTGATAAATAGGACAAAATATATGCAAATTAATCGCAAAAGATGAAATGTAATAATAAAAAAGACAGGAAAAATACAACATAGCAAGATGGTAGGTACTGAATCCAATTGCATCAAAACATATTTACTATAGTAATTTAAAAACATATCTTCAAACTATATAAAAAGCAAAGCACAGCTATATGCTGCATGGGCCTAAATTTTAAAAATGAAGAAAATATGTTAAAATAAAATGATGGCACATGCCTTTAATCCCAGCATTGGGAAGCAGATGCAGATGAATCTGTGAGATTGAGGCCAGCCTGGTCTACATAGTAAGTCCCAGGCTAGCCAACATTACACAGTAAGACCCTGCCTCACATAAAAAACAACAACATCAAAAAGAAAAAAAACCAAAAAATTTTAAACGATGGAAAAAGATACAGTATATAAATACTAATCAAAAGAAAGCTCAAATGGCTATTTTCATATCAAAGTATTCTGCTATGGATAAAGCTATATCATCAGTGTGTGCTATTAGCACAAGCATCAATACATCAGCACAGAACAAACTGTCTAGAAATAGATTCACATGTGACATGTATACTGTGAGCTGACATTTCAGAAAGGTAGCTAGACATTTCCATGGAGGAAGGGATAGTCTTTTCAACGGTTCATGGTGAAATTTTTTCAGAAACAGATATGTGGGGAAATAAACCTTAACTTTTATATTCTAAGTCATGCATCAAAAAATTATTCAAGCTGGATGGCAGTGGCTCACGCCTTTAATCCCAGCACTTTGGAGGCAGAGCCAGGTGATCTCTTTGAGTTCGAGGCCAGCCTGATCTACAGAGCGAGATCCAGGACAGGCTCCAAAACTACAGAGAAACCCTGTCTCGAAAAACAAAAATTCAAAATAGATCACAACCATAAAAAGGGAGCAAGTTGTTACATAGTTAGACAGGGATGAATTACTTGGCATCTAAGAGCATCAAGTAGCACGGTGAATTTGAAGAACACAGTTCTGAGCCAGAGAAGCCACAAACAAAGGCATGCTTGCTATATGAGTTTATCTCTAGGAAGCTTAGGATCATTGACAGAAATCAGAACAACACTTGCTCAGGGGAACATCTGGGAATTCACCAGCAGGTAGACAAATAGGAACTTTCATATTTTCACTAAATATGGCATATTTCACTTTCATATGACACTTTCTTACTCATTCAGACCTAGAAGCCAGGCCAATGTTCTACTGATAGCCTCCCATTGCTCCCGTGACTGTCTCCCTCAGCCTTATCTACTCTGTTGTAAATTCAGTAAGTTTCATTAAGCTCTCTTAAGTTACTTTATGTAAACTTTGACAGGATCCTTACTAACCTACACCACTTAATCATAGTTAAGTGATCTCATTTCAGTTGTATGGAAGATCTAAGGTTAGTCAAATAAATATATGAAAAAAGTTTAAAAGTTGAGAGGTACTTATCACTTAGTGTTTGTATATGTGTGAATATGTGATTTCTAGGATTGTCACTGTATAGAAACAGTCATGGTGAATTTTTTTTGGCATTTTTGCCTATCCCCTGGAAACTATTTTAATATATAGAAACAATAAGACATCAAACTCTGATGATGAAATTTTATAAAAGTCCCATAATTCCTGATATTAGTGCTTCAGGGACAGATTAGGACACTGGCTCAGACTTCTGTTGGGTTATCAGCATGCACTATTATAAAGGCAGATAAGACTTTTGTATTTGTAGAGCTGTCAAAATGCCAATGCTAATTTTGTATGTTAAGAACACATTCCTGGACTATAATCTTGGATCTTATTTGCAATGTGGACTATTTTCTTTTTTTTCAAAGATAGTAACATAAAAAAAAATCACAAAACAGGGATGAAATTAATAGCGAATCATTTGAATGATTCTACAAAGGTAAACTGCACATAGAGAGGGAATAATGATTTTGCAGATACCATCACTAGATTTATATTTGAAAACAAAACATAATTCATTCTGTATGGAACTCTCCATTTAATGGACAGCATATTTTAAATGTGTCTTCAAAATAATAATCAGCATTAAACATTTGCATTAATATGTAGCCATACATTTTAAAGACATCAGGGACTTCCTAGTGCTTTGAAGTTCCTTCTACAGATAAAGTCTAAGACATCAAACCAGGCACCAAAGTGTATTTTACAGCAATGTGTTAGAGTGTATGCTCACCATCTTCAGCTAGATAAACCACAGTATCTTCCTTGGAGTTTGGGTAAACAGGTTCTACTTCCAGGCCTGTCGGGACATATACCGGCTCAGGAAAAAAAGGAGTCCACTCTAGAAAAAAGAAGGGGCATCATTTGCATATGACTTCAACATAAATTTTAATATATGCTTTCAAATTACTAATTGATATATACCTAGCTTAAAAGTCAATGTTTCATGTAGGGCTAGAGTTCTACAAAGGATTCATCACAAGAAATAACATTGTCACACTGTAACAAAACTCAGGATTGGATGTGTACCTTCTAAATTACTGTGCAGTTCAGCAGCAGTGATTTTGTACTCCTAAGTGCTACAGTCCCGTTTCTACGTCTCTCGAGTCCTCCCTGCCATTTTACCCCACCTCTAAGTGTCTTGCTCATTCTTCCTATTTTCTGCTTCCTGTCTTCAGCCGTTTGGTGGTCATCCCTTAAACTTCTAAACACATTTGTTTCTTCTCTCTCCAGGAAGGGTGAATATTCTTAGACTTCCACAAAAATTCCAATTGCAACTTTTTTGGGGATTACACCAAATCTATGGATTAGTTTGGGGATAACTGATGTCTTTAAAAGAATGAGATTTCCAAAATAGTACTAAATCCTTTCCAAATACTTGTGTATTCTAACAAAGAAGAGATCTTCCTATACGACCATTAATACACCCATCAAGACCATAATTTTGGTTTGTTACTACTGTCTAATCCTAAGATCCCAATAAAGACTTTACCAGTTGTACCAGCAATAAAAGGAGCCACTTTAAAATTGCACATTACACTTAGGTTATGACATTTCTGAAAAGTACGGTCATACTTCCAATTTCAGCTAAGAGACATATAGAAGAAAAACAGGACATTGTCCTCACAATAAAAAAATCAAACTGGATGAATCCAAATCATTTTATTGAATCTACTGAAGTTGCAGGCTACCTAGGTACTTCAAAATCTGGGAAAAGGCAGCTGGACATCTAAAAGTCAAAAGTAGACCCTGAGCACCTGTCTGTCTAAGATGTTGTCAACTCCACTGATTGTTAAAAGAGCACAGCCACAGACTAACATAAATCCTGAGTGTGTCAAGTCCCTTCTCAGGGAGGGGGATATAGGACACAGAGGGTTAGCACCTGCTTCTGGACTTTGCCTTCATTAACTTCTAACAAAACTCCATTAAGAGCCATTTATTTTTTCCCTATAGAACAAGATACATAATCTAGAACACCCAGTACATCTGGAGAAAGGGAACAGCAGAATGCACAAACTTTTGAGTAGAGGGCAACCATGTAAGCTATTTATTATTTTTGTTACATTGTTTTATTTATTTTGTGTGTATGTGGGCACACACATCCTACAGGGTACATGAGATCAGAGGACAGTTTGTAGGGGTCAGTTCTCACCTTTCACAACATGGGTTCTGGGGATTGAACTCATGGTATTGGGTATGGCAGCAAGTGCCTTTATACAGAGCCATCGTGACTGCTCTATCCGTGTTATTTTGTCTTTATGTATCTTCAAATGCAATCACACAATATTTATCCTCTTTTTTTTCCTGCCTTCTCAGAAATGTTTGTAAGATTCATCCATCTTGTGCATGTTTTTAATACTTCATTCCTTTTTATGGTTAGTTGATATTTCATTATATAGCTATACCACGTTTATCCATTTATCTCTTGATATACATGTGGATTGTGTTCATATTTTGGATATTATGAATAACACTGCTACTGACATTTGTGAGTTTTTGTTTGTACACATTTTCTTTTCTTCTGGGTGTACCTAAGCATGAAAACGCTGAGTCAAATCTCTTTGACTTTCATGCCAAAATGTTTGCAAAGTGAATGCACAGCTTTACATTCTCTCCAGCTTATCAGGCTTCTAGTTTCTCTACATCCTCATCAACATTTACTGTGATCTGACTTTTTGATCTTAGCCATCCTAGTTCCTGTAAAGTGGTATCCCAGTATAATATCAATTGCTTGATAGCTAAGATGTCAAATATCTTTTCGAGTGTTTATTGGCAGTCTGTTAAACTTCTATGAAGAAATGTCTTACTGGATTCTCTGCATTGATTTTTTGTTGTTGTTGTTTTTTTCAAGACAGGGTTTCTCTGTGTAGCTTTTCGCCTTTTCCTGGAACTCACTTGGTAGCCCAGGCTGGCCTCGAACTCACAGAGATCTGTCTGGCTCTGCCTCCCGAGTGCTGGGATTAAAAGCATGTGCCACCACCGCCCGGCCTCTGCATGGATTTTTAAAGAGAGGCACTGATGACAGCAGTATGTCTTTAGGAGTCATTTATTATAGGAACATTTATATGTTTCTATAGCAGAACTAAAATATATTAGGTTTTCCCCTAAGACCATGACCTATCTAGTATCAGGTTCTTGGCCACTTTAGCAGTTTCAGGTATAGGTTCCATTTCATGGAGTGGGCCTTAAATCCAATAAAAAATGGTTGGTCATTCCCACAAACTTTTGTGTCATGATTGCACTAGTATTGTTGCTACATGACTGTACATGTGCTGTTCAGTAGCCAAGGAGGGGGCTTTACATCCTACGCAATCCATGCACTGCGTGATCACGTAATTTGTGCGCAGCATGATCATGCAATGTATGTGCATGCATGGTGTAGCTCTGTAAGCCCACATGCACATGTGTAGGGAAATCCATAAAAAAATGGGTCACAGACTCCTCCCCTCTTCTGCTGTGGGCCGCAGGAATATATCATAAGAACTCAGCTGGTTATGGCAAAGTCACTACCTGGAGGGATCAGGGAATTCCTCCAGAGGAAGCCAAATCCCAAGGAGTTGTTGGTGTTACTTGGCTTGTTATATATCAGCTGTATTCTGTTATGAAAATCATGTGTGCCTTCATAGTTTTCCCAATTGATTTTTCTTTAAGAAGGGCTAACAATGTGGACTGATCACTCTCTAGACATACACATTCCAGGCATTTCGAGAACAGCCTCAGGAAAGGCTTTCCCTGGAATCAGATACCTCCTCTAGCCACTTTCAAGGACTAAAGGAGACATTACCCAGGTGGTCACCCAATTTCCGAGGACTAACAGTGATAACAACCCACAGGCGAGTCTCCTGACTTAAGGTAAATTCCACAAGCCGACACCGCCTAGGTCAGGTAGACATTAAGTAATAGCTTTACACAATTTAGCTCAGACCCCTCCTTTCTTACAGCCTTACTAACTTTATAGACCTCTAACTACTTACCTAACCACTTCTAGGAATATTTAGATAACATTCTGCGCTAACAGCTATGCTCAGCCAGAACTCCCAGTACAAGCCTCCCTGTAATTATCATTATTGGTAGCATCCGGCCAGGTCCATCACCGGATGGAGGAAAGTACCTTATCAGAAACACCTCTGTACTCTCTAAGAACAGACTTAAGCATCCAGGCTACCTGTTTGAAAAGGCCTGGCGGATGTGCCAATTAAGCTTAACTTCCTCCTTTCCCAAATCTTACCTCCAGTTCCAGATCTCCCTTTAACTATCACTAGAGGCATCTACCTGTACACAGGTTGCCTAGAGACTGAGCACACTTTCCCCCACCCTGCAGAAAAACGGCAGACAACTTGGACAGATAGGAGCCACAGGAAAAAAGAAGACAGTTTTATTTCTCCCATTGACCTAGCAACTTATAGATTTTTAACATCTTTTACCAAACACATTTAAGATTATAGTTGTGCACATAAGATCCCTCTTCTTAGATATTACCCATATTTAGCCTTTAGTTAATTCATTAGTCACTTCCCCTTTGGGTCACAAATGGTAATTAACAACTAGTGCCCCTCTTTGTAATTCTTATCAACCCTCCATTTGATCCTGATAGTGGACAATCACTGCCTGAGGAAGTTCAGGCTGAGTGTCCTGGGTAGAGGGGAGGATTGTGATTTTGGGGAGATATATAACTGTAAAGCAAGGGACCAAAGAACTCTGCGTGCGTAGATTGATTTGCCGACCTTAAAGAATAGATTCTCAGCTGGTTGATAGACTCTTTCGCGGACCCTGGTAAGGAGACTATTAGGGGCTGGACCCCAATAGTCCCCGATACTTTTCTTCTCCTTCTTCCTCTCTCTCCATACACAACCTCCCATAGGCCTAAAGCACATTCCCCTCTGTTCCTTCTCCTAATAAACTCTTATAGTGGGTTTCGTTGTAGCTTGTGGCTTTCCTCACACAGTAACAGTGCCACTTAATGAATAACAAGTATAGCTTGTAGGCAGGTTTCTGTTGTAGGTTGCAGGGTTTGTAGCTGGGTGATATTGATAATAATTACATTCCTCCTCGAGAAGCATGAAGAGTACCTTCCAGTACTAGGAATTCTAGTGATAAAACTTCCAGTTAGGGACCAACTCAACTTCTCCATGTTCAATGACATAAGTATTTTGTCTCAGCAACAGGGCCTTACCATCAGGTTGTGGAGAGCAACCAATAGCCTTGGCAGTAGCCTGTGATGTCTGGGGAGTGCTATGGGACCCCTGTGGTCAACAACTCAACAGGATGTAACCCATTTCTGGCATTGGAAGTTTCACTTGGTGGCTTAAGATCTAGTTGGGACATTGCCTCCCTATTATTTGGTGACTCAATTCATATTCCTTTCATATATGTATATTAAAAAAATATTCTGAAGGTAGCCCAGGCCTAAAAAGACAATTATTATATATTTCCTCTTATATGCGGATGCTAACTTTTAAGCATTTGATATGCGTGTCACAATCTAAATAAAACAGAGGTTAGGTAGCTGGTAAGGGACTGAGGAGAGGAGAAGATTTCCCAAGGTAAGGAAATAGAATATAATGTTTGGAGGAATAAAGGGGAAATCATTCAGAAAGCATTTTTACTACCTTAATAGTTTCCTTGAAAGTATAATGCTCTCAACTTGAATGAAATGTAATTTATTGTTTTTTTGTCATTATTCTTATTTTGGAGTCATATCTCGAATCCATTTCAAACCCAAACTTCTGGAGTTTTTTCCTTTATGTTTCCTTATACAGCTTTATAATTAATTGGCTTTTATAGTATATTTAGATTTGGATACTTTTTTTTGTATTTGGTGTTAGGTGGTAAGGATCAAAT